CCTTATTGTCTTTGTACCTAAAATAGCATTTATTATCGATCTAAATAAACACCTTGACGCTTAACCATTTGACTTCTTTGGGCTGTCTATCGACCGCGATTTCCAGCACCAACTGACTACTCTTGGGAACGGTTTGGTCAACCAGTTTCTTTGTGAATTGTATTCTTTCAAGCTCTTCTAAACAATGATGAATTTTTGAGATTTTTTCAGCAGTTCCAGATTTTAACTTATATTAATTTTTTAGAAGAACAATCAATAGACGTTGGTGTATAAAATCACAACCATAATGAAGAGTACTGATTTCGAGTAAAAATAAAGGATTCGTGACAGGTTGTACTAAAAAATCTCCGTGTACATTCATGGCATGCAAATAAACTGGCTAAAAAGTTCTTTTCACTTTTTGGTATCATTCCTTAAGTAAATTTCAATCGTCCGTTCATATTTCTACCAAGTGGTAATTCTCATTAGTAAATTCAATCATGTTTTTTTGGGAATTAATATTGACGGTTCCGTCAATCCACAAAGCCAATCCCGGCTTACTGTCATCCTGGTCAGAAACCTAAGCTAAACGAAATAGCAATATTTAGGATGCTGATCTATATTTGTTCATATCTCTTCCTGTGAGGGCTGAGTATTTCATCCACAATGTCGACGTAAGCAATAACTATAATCGAAAATATGTTAAATTACGCACTATTCATTGGAGTAGGAGGTCGCTGAGCCATCCATGAAACATTTTTCTGTAAATGACAGTGGAAAGCGTCTGTCGTTCTTACCAAGCACCTAACACCTTAAGTTTTTGCCTAGTTTAAATCTATATTCGATAAACGCATAAGGATTATATACCTTCTGCATAAGTTACAGAAGGATGCAGGAAAATGTACATTCATGAAACCTAGATAATCAATCATTTTTGCTTGTATTCTGTCCCTTTCGTACCATGATAATTTTTTAACTTTTAACGATACCCTTGCCATGGCATTTGGGTTCATAAGTCACAACAGAGACTAACTATTTACTGTTGATCTTATATACGTGGATATAGGTCCGAATTTAATGTAACTGATCTATATCATAGAGATTCAAATGTATGACCGTTTAGTGGCTATTACGGGCACGAGTTAGATTTCTTATTCTTGATTGCAAGACATCTAAATAATTGCACAAACGGAACCATGGTACTAATTTGGATCCTATTTAGACGCGGACCTTCAGAGATCGAGACGTCAGTAGGTTGAACTATACTGCCATGATTAGAGTACAATTAATTTAATTTTATCTTTGGTTTTTATTTAGTTCCTCACGTGCTTCATTATTGTTACATTCTCTTTGGAAATGTGATACTTTTGCTGGATACGGCTTAATTTCACCCTCAACTTTTTTCCCTGAACAGCAGAAAAAAAGGATTGCAGAATTTATTGATTGGACGTAAGCTTGATTTAACAGAAAAACTAGTTGATGAGAAAAACACAGCACAAACAACAGGTTCAACTACGAAATTCTGATTCCTTTCTGGTAGCTGCAGCATACCTCATGGAGTGTACGAATTTCATAGGCTTTGGTATCTGATATTTACTAAATATCTTAATTCACTCAACCTTGACACTAGAACAAAACATAGATGATAATTTTATCTTTGAAATGGATTATGAAGAATTAATTTGTAGAATAACGTACCTTTTTCCATGACTATCACCTCAGCCTCGGTTTTGGCAGTTTCACCGGCATCCGTTACCACGCAAGCGAAAAGAGCGCTTTCCTCGTGTGACGCTTTTTGAATGGTCAACGTGCAGACACCGTCGACGTTTGCCCTCGCGGACGACCGACCATTGAACTGGAAGGCTTGCCCATTTTTCAGCCTAGTGTTTATCCGATTGACAGCATAAATGTTGGACATTATCTGCTATAAACTTTTACCACGAAACATTTGGCAACTTTGTCCTTCCGGCCATTTCAATGCGACACGTCAAACAAACCGTCTCGCCCAGTCTTACGGTCTGCTTTTTTAACCCCTCGGCAAAACCCAGTTTAGGAACTTTTTCCAAAACTGAATGAGGAAAAGAACGATAGCAAAAATCAAATCAAATTATCAATGTACCTTTCAACTTTGCGATTGTTTCAGCTTTTTCTTTGTCATTCTCCGCGACACATGTATATGCTGCTGCATCGCTGGGTTTACACGATATAAGCTTGAGAGTCTGTGAGCCGCTGATCAACGACTGAATGACTAAACGATCGGATGCCGAGACCGGAGTACCGTCTTTCAACCAATGCACAGCGGTAAACGAATTTGGTGGCAAAACGCACTTAAAAGAATTAAGAATGTGGACAAGAATTAGGATACGAAAACTTGGTATGGGTAATGGTAATAATAGAAATTACTATACACAGGCATTACATGGATCATAAGTGAAAATCCATAAGCTGAAAGAAAGCCGTGAGTTGAATAGTGCGCGCCCATTCCCTCACTCATTCACTCGATGATATCAGGCATGGTCTTAACTTACATTGGAGTAATGAACAAGATGCGAGATCCTGTCAGTGCGAAAAGTTAGCATGACGGTTCCAATTACAAGTCATATATTGTCTGTAATAAAATCTCGACTACTACAGATTCTCTGTTTCAGAATTGTGAGAGTAGCTCCACTTGCAATACTCTTCAACTAGAATATAACATTCATAGAGATAGAAGCAGTCGTCCGCTGGTAATCTCTTTTCAAAAGAGGTTAAACGTCAAAATAAAAAATTATGAGCAGATGTACATATCACTGGGATGCAGTCTTCCATAAAAGCTCGAGGTCCCATGTATAAGCAATGAATTCTTATGAAATAAGAGAATTTGATGCAGAATATCGCTGTAATTGCACGTGTAAAGAAAGCTGCATTGAGGAAAATAGAGCGCTTCTCCAAAGCAGAACAGGAAACATATGACCTACCACAACAGAGAAAATGATAATGATTTAACCGTTCGAAGAATGCAACATCAGGCAAATATACATCATCGAGTAGGACTCCAGAAAAATCAGCTGTAATGGAAGCCAGTAACTCTCAGAGTGATAATAGCT